ACTCGTCTCTTAATTGTAGTTGTCTTCGAATTACTAAAAGAATTTTTTCAAGAAGGGTTAGAGGAGGAAGAATGTAGAAATTTTATAAATCACAAAAATATTGCTCTCTTAAACCGGAATTTTACCGTTAAAAGTGAGCTAAGCTGCAATAGATTTAACGTTGTTCGAGTATTTTCGACTTGTTCGTTAAATCCGAATTTTCGTTAAATCAGGGCTCGTTATATGCAAGTCCCAGAGAATTTTTTAATATATATTTATGAAATCTGCTTTTTGATGTTAGGGATTTAAATTCTCTGAAAGACTGGCAAAGTCATCGTTAAATATTATTGATTTATTTTCATTTGGAAGTGAACCAGCCCGGAAAACAATTCCCTCGAAGCATGTCTCTTAAAATTACAGCAACTTCTACTTAAGTCCTGTCATAATTTATGACTGGGGATAGAAAAATGCATATGTTATGCAAGAATAGGGCTTTACATAGGACACAAATATATCACCTCTGCTTAAAATAGTCCTGTAACCATGAACTAGCTGTAAAGCAAGGCTATTAATCACACACGAAATGCGTATTCCCGAAAGATGATTTTATTCATGAATAGAAGAATATAATTGATTATATATGTTACAGGTAAAGTTAGATATCCGGAATGGATCCTTGAATTATATAAATAATTATTAGCCTCAATTTGGAAAATAGCATCCCAATATTTTGGGCGACGTTTGCGACATACGATTTTTAAAAAATTGGTAACTCAGAAACTATTCGACCCATTTCCTTCAAACTTTGTTCATTCCCAATTAAATTTGCATATTTTATTACAGTACATAATAACATAAAATGTTTCTCCTATTATTTAACAAATTAATAATAAATTATGAAAATATTATTTTATGCATGATATTATCTCATAGATAAACTGATTTATTCCGGTGCAAAAACTATTCTCGACATTTAGAGAGACATATTTTTATTTTATAACAGTCGTTGAAAAACGGACCCAATTTTCGGATTTACGACTACCAATGTTCAACTCCGTTGCATTGGCATTTTGAAACCAACCCAGAAGACAAGGTAACTCCTGGATCAAGTATTGGAAGAAATTTGCCTTCGTGGAGGATATTTTGATGGAATTAACCCGCATTTGCTTTACATGGAGAGCAAAACGACGAAAACCTTTCTCGGTTAGCCTGACGGCAAGGGTCTATAACACATGATCCGTCGACCACGGAGGATATTTTATGTCAGCACTGTAGTCGGTGCGATACGGTTGCGGATTTCATCTCGACCAGCCATTGCATTCATTGAAACGCGAACGCTCTATTCACTGAGCAACACGGCTCCCATATTTTGAGAGTCATAAATATAAATCAGTCGAAAACGAACAAAAAAATGTAGGTTTATTGGTAGAGAGCAAGTTCACGTGTCTGATTTATTCACCTAAAGAATGGCCTACTCTAATTAATTAGCATATTTAAGGCTAAACTCTCAAATCATAAAGATTGAAGTCTTAGTGAGTGAAAATCCAATCATTAGATCAAAATTTACTCAGGGGGTAATTTTTTTACGCGTTGTGCATTAATAAGATTGATCCTCAATATTTCTAAATAAAACTATGCACATCCTATAAAATTTTGCAACGCTTTCAAGTCATTGCTAAAACGTCCACAGTTTGGTTTAGTGAAGAAAAAAAGTGATTCAATGCCAATTAACAACTTGATAAAAAAAATAACCTAGGTCGTTATTTTAATTCATAGCACGTACTAAAATCTAAATCTAGAGGGATCACTTAAAAGTTTAAATCGTCCTATTTTCGTCTTTTAATAGTCTTCATCTCGTACATAACGATAAATTTACACCCTATAAAAAACACTCAATGCTTTTTATGGTTCTTCTTAAGGAACTTTCTTTCATAAAAATCATAAAGTCATACTAGTTACGACTTTTTTTAATGTTTGTCAAAGAAGAGCATCTTAAATTTGCATAAAGTAAGGTCTAATGGTCAAAAGCGATGAAAAGCATTTAGAAAACAATAGCGGTGATGATAAAGGACATTTTGCGAAAACTTTTTTTTTCTCGCGAGTATATCACCTCCATTGTTCGGCTTTTAACACTTTTTTAGTGTAAGTTTTCTAGAAGTTATTAACGAGCATAAATTTTCTAGCGACTAAAGGTTAAGTGAATTATCTTATAACTTTAACTATTTTATTCAAATAGAAGTAGTTTTTTTTAAAAATTACTTTCATTCTTGATACTTCTTATAAAAGATCCTCTTCGGTGGTGACGAAACTTATGTGATGTTAAGAATAAAAGTAATTGGCTGATATTCGTGTATGTTTTTTTAAAATTATTTTTCTTATAACGTTTTGCTTTCTGAACAATTTATAAAAGTGATGGGCTTTTTTAAAAATAAATGAATTTTAATATATTTTTTCCAGAAAATTCTTTCCGAAAGTTTAAATATTAAAAAACAATAAAAATTTTTCATCACAGAAGTAAATTTTCATGATTTACTTTTTTTAAAATTTTTTAAATGGAAAGAATGTACGTAATTTGAAAGAATTTGTTGAGTTTTATATTAAATTAACGGACAAACAATTTATGAAGGCTGGGATAGCCGGGCTCGTGTTCGTGAGAATCGTGAGTTCGAAATCAGACGTCCGAAGAATCCCTGCGTATTAAATTGTGACTAGCGTTTGTTAAATCTGCCGGGGTCACAAAGTCCTCCAAGTTCCCATAAGAAATCAACACCTCTAGGGTACTAAATTGGAGATGGATCGCTCTCTGGTTCAGGTTAAAATTATGATCTGTGGATGAATGAATGGATGTATGAATGAGTCCGCTCTATAAACGGGTGTGACGTATGGGTGTGGCATGAGTCGAATTCTTGGCCATAGATGGCACCCCCTCTGCCTTAATGGAGGACGACAACATTTAAATTCATTAATACTTTGCGGTTATACGTCTCTCATAACCATGAAAAAAAAAATAACTAGCCTTCCCTCTATCTTTAAATAATATCAGGAATTGCATTGGTATATGTAGCTTAGATGAATCTAAACTTTTAAATGCGATAATTTTGCTTCATTCATTTAATGAATTTCTTTGAGCTATTTTAAATATTATTTCAAAAATAATAAGTTTCAACTTTTAAATGTTTTTGCATAATGTAGGATAATTTGGGTATTTTTACGTAATTTAGTCACTGATCAAAATCCACTTATTTCACAAAGCAAAGAATTTATAGGCCATGAAGTTGTTCGAATGGTTATTCGAATCGAATATTTCCTCTTCCTTGTAATTTTTCATTGTCATTAAAAGCTATAGCCCTCGTGGGTTAATCCAGCTATATTTTTGCATATAAAGAATGTTATAAGTTCTGGCAAATTTCTCCCAATACTTGATCTAGGACTTTTGATTTCTGGATCCAGCTGTATTCAGTAGCAGCGTAGCAACTTTGAAACAGATACAAGGAAGTTAATATTTTCAATTTGGTATATTTTCAATTCGCCTGACTTAAAAAAAATAAATTTTTGCAGGATTACATTTTCGTGTCATCTTAAATTAATCGCATAATATTATAATTTCCGGTAAATTTACAAAAGAATTTCCATAAATATTTATTGCCAAGCTCATTATCATAGGAATTTTAAAATGTTTGTTTTCACTACGAATCCAACCCTTTCGGATTCTTAAAATAACTGAGACTTAACGTAAATGTTAATATTTTATAAATTTAAAAAACTGTAGAGAGTAGCTGAATTATAAGCAAATCTGTCAAAAAATTGGTTAATTATCGAAATGGTGTAGACGTAAAAACTATGGCAACTGTCCAATTTACTAACCTTACCGGTTCACAACAGGAAAACCATAATTTACCAGTCCATCGAGTAAATAAACTGGAGAAGCACTGATATAGAGGGTATTTTGTGAATTAAAAAATTATGAAAAGAATTATTTATCATGAAAAAACGAACAGTCTCAAAAGTTATTTATTTACAGTCTATTTCTGATTACGAAAAAGCGCTACATAAGAGGTTAAGTTTTTAACTAATTCAACCGACGAGACTGATTGAAACTAAAGAAGCTCCAGTTAACATAAGTTTAGTTGTCTTTAGTTAGAAACTAAATGTAAACAAATTTGGTTTCCTCTGTTTCACTCAGTCTATACTCCGTTGCAAGTTAAGAAAAGACTATTTTGGTATAGGATTTAAGTAATCAACCACGACTGCATATAGTTTCATTTTATTTAGCTATACAACTACATAATGCTTTCAATACAAAGCTTTCAAAAGTTAAACAAGTCTGGCAGAAATTTAAATCGTGCTATTTTTTTTTTTGATAAGCCAAAGGAAGGCCGTGGTACGTAGTTTCAAGAGTTGGCGATGTTGATATTCGTTCGTTCTTGAAGTGTTGCCCCAGTGTGGCGTGCAGATGATCTTAACCTGCAGAGTATAGTGTTTTTAAAGTTTTTTTTATAAAGCACTAGAACTTTTTAAAACTGAACTAAAAATCTAATTGTGAAATATTAATGTTAATGTTTAATTTTTTGAGCGACCAGATCAAAAATTTAAGACAACTAAACCCAATCTCAGACGTAAAGTGAAATAAATTTTTTCTCAATGAACTCGCAAATATTAAGTTTAAGCACTTTTCATATCAATTTGAAGTGCTTGGGGCAGACAGAAACATTTTCAAACTATTCAGAAGAGTTTGACCTTACATTTCCATCAAATCAAGCTATATCTGCGGATCGTGCTGCTACCTAGTTGAAAGTATCCGAAAACAATACAAGGGCAGTTTAGTATAATAATGCCGTATTTCAACATTTGCCAGAGCTCTTCATTTTGAAGTCAGCTTCAGAAGTGATAGGATTGAAAGTAGAATTCGAGGCATAGTTGACGACCCCAAACTGTCACCTTCATATAGGAATAGCTTATATTTACACACAAACTACAGGGTTCAATTTACATTTTTCGAAATGAGACATTAAATTACAAAATTTCATGGGAAAAAATACAATTTTATTTTAAAATATACAGTATGCCACTAGTTTCACAAGTATACATTGAATATTAAGTTTAAAAGAATAAAATATTCATAAACTAAGTCTAAAAAGCATGTTTATAATAAGTCGTAGGGTTTGTAAACCCAAGTAAAACATTCGCAACTGAACTTTGTGTGAATCAGTCTTGTAGAAGATGGCAATGTTTATCCAGTCACCAAAAACTGACTTAAAATGCCTGAAAAAATTTAAATAAAAATTAGCTAAATGAAATTTAACGGAAGAATTTAAATAAGCTGTCAAGAATTTAGACTTTGTTAAATGTCTTGCAACAAAGTAGAAAATAATAATGGTTACTTCAGTTTTGATTAAGAAAAAGATAAATCCAGATTTACAAATTGCTCTCAAGAACTAAACTCGCACAACAGTATGAGCAATAAAACGCAAAAGCCGTATCGTTACATTCATTTTTAGAGAACTATAGCAAACTATTTAAATTTTGACATTTCACATCACAAATTTAAAGATCTAAATATTTTAAGCTTAAAGTTCGTCTACGTTTTTAATAAGTATTGAATTTATTAAAGAATCTAAAGTCTCACTAAGAAACTATTTTCACAAATAAGCAATCACAGAATTATTGCAGCCCACAGAAAATGTTTATTTTATGTTTCTATTTGTATGCCTTTGATTATAAACTGTTAGCATAAATTTTGAAAGTTTGTAATTTGTATTGCAAACCAAATGTTTATAAATTTAATTATCAAATAAACAGTTTCAGTTATTTTACTTTATTTCAAGACATTCGATATTAAAAATGAAAATATTTCAAAATTAAAATTTAGAAGAAATTCTTGAGTAAAGTCACATATTTTAAGATTCTTCTAAATTTTTGAAATGTTAGCTACAGCAAGAACTAATCCAGAAAATGTTTAAAAAAATTTAAGTTTCCAAAACTTTCTTGATTATATTAAACATTTGTCGTATACCCGTTCTTCGTATTGGATGAAAAAAAATGCATAAAAAATCAGTACTTAACTTGCAAAATCGTGTATAAAACTAAGACAAATACCTACAAAACTAAAACAATTCCAATGTTTTTCTTTTAATTATTAGTCTCGCATATCAACTGCTTTACGTTATTAGATTTATCAAGTAATTCTTTTCAAAATAAAGATTAAGTGCAGTATCATCTAGTATACTGTTGCTAGAGATAACTTGCGATATTTTTAATTTACCACAATTAACCTGATTTCTCCCGGAATTTTATTATGAAGCCGTAAAATATGTAAGTTGAAAGCGTATATTATAGGTGAAGATTTATTCTGCATTAAATTTAGTCATGAAGTACTTTGTACCTATCAGAGTATTGATACCTATTAAAGCTACACCAATTACCATAATGCCAGCATGCTTATTACCAATATTGAACATCAGTGGTGTCAATAATAGTCAAAATTCTCATTGCAGTCAATAATATTTGTTTTCTTATGTTTATCCTCCACAAATTAGCACCATTTCTGCATTTCACTTCGCAGTATGAAACTTATTTGCAATTTCAATTGCCGGCGATTTTAAATTAGTTTCTTAGAAACGAGTTTTAAAAGCTCAACTAAGAAATATTAACACGTAGAAACATGGTGCTACCACGATCACTTTGATCATTCAGCAATAACACAGCAGCAAAACGATTAAACAAGTATCACAGAACGCGCAATAAACAAATTTTAGAGCTTTAAGCTAGCAAATATTACCGATACTGTCTTAATATTTGAAAAAAATTGAAAGCTCTATAATTTTTAAACAATGAGCAAATCATAATTCTATCGTTTAAATATCTGTATTACGATATAATTTAAAATATCAAAAATCAGACTTAATTTGTTTACAATTGTACTCATTCAGCTTCATGTTGAATGTCGTATTTTAGAGTTTACGGTAAGCCCGTACAGTACGGCATACAGTCAGATACAAATTCGTTATTTATTATATGCATATAGAGATAAAACTATTATCTTAAAGCCACATTTTGAATTTTTAGTATTCTACAGTTGTATTCAGATTGTTTTCGGGTCACAATGTAAAAATTTCTTAATTTTCTTGATAAATCTTAGTTTCCAATATTTTTTAGAAAAGCTGTTTATCTAGTTTTGTTGCGAAGTGATGAATTCTAAATAAAAATGTACGAAAGAGCTGAAAAAAAGATCATACCTATAGTTTTCTTAAGAAGTCTCTTAATCTTAAACTCTGAAGTAAGAAATGTTTCCAAATTCATCAAGATGGTTTTAGAGATCCTGCAGGCAAAGCGATGAGTAGAATGCTTGCAGGATTTCTTTCTGGGTTGTGTCCAATCAACAGGTTTCAGGGCAGACTGGAAACTCAGCACGTGAAATAGTAAAACCATCTCATATTCCATTGGATCACTTAAAAAAAAAGGATATTAGAAGATCTTTAATTTTTTGAAATAAAATTTATCATTCATATTTTACGACAGTCGTTTAATAGGGGGCTGAATTTTCAGTTTGAGACTAATAAAGTTAAACTCCGTAGCTTTTTACTTTTGAACCCAATCCAGAAGACCAGGGAAGTCATGGTTCAAGTATTGAGAGAAATTTGCCTTCGTGCTGGACTTTGATGGAACTAACCAGTATTCGTGCAACATAGAGAAAAACCACTAAACCTTCTCACGGTTAGCCGGAGAAAAAGGGATTAACCCATTATCCGTCTACCACAGAGGATATTTTAAGTCAGCACTGTGGTCGGTGTGAGCCGGGTGTGGAATTCGAATAAACCAGCGAGATTCGAATCAGATACACCTCATTGGGAGGCGAGCGTTCTATCCCCTGAGCCACCACTGCTACAAATTCTTATTTTAATAAACGAAATATATTCTAGAGCAGGACATGAAGCATTAGTTTTAAGCATACTAGTTAAAATAAAATTTTTAAACTGCTAGCAGATTTCGTACGAGGAACTTCTTAGTAACTAAAATAGAATGTAGAGCTTAATATTCGAAACATTTATTGCAATAATAAATCAAAGGTTTTAATTTTCCTGAAATGAAACAATGGTTTTAGATTTGGAACGTTGGAGACCCAACCTCTTTGGCTCTGAATTTATGCTCAGTAACTTAAAATATTTTAGTGGATGTAAATTATTCCTTCACCTTACAGATCCATTTTATCTAATTTCCAGCTCTGGCCTAGAATGTAAAATTTGTACTGAATAATTTCGGATTTTAAAATTCTGGAAACAAGATGCTGCAATCTCTACTTAAAGTTTGCGATTTGATTAATTTAGAAATGTTTTAATATTTTATATTTAAATATGTATCGTAAATATCGTAGACTTTAGATTGTCAAAATATGTTTCACGGTCATGCTTAGATAGGTTCCAAAACAAAAAGATGTTTCTTAGTCTGAATGCTTAAAATGTGAAAATTGTTCAGGAATCTGAAATATTATGTTTTTATAAGCACTAGAGTTTAGAAAGTTTGGAAATAAATACAGTACTGTTTTTCTAATACAACCCATATTTAAAAACTAAATAACTAAACTTGCATTTTGTCCCATTTGTTATTTTATAGAATTTCATTTCAGGGTTTTTTAAAATGTTGATTAGAACGTTTGCACCGGACCCTTCTTCCCTACAAAAACAAATACTTAGTCATTAGACTAAGTAATTTAAACCTTTATTTTGATGTTACCACGAATATAAACTCCTTGAATCACCTTTGACAGAAAAAGCCCCCCTAAATGTTTAGCCAAATTCCTAGAGGGTCGTAATTTATGGTCATTCATAAGGTTTTAAACTTCTTTAACGGAAAAAACTTAGTCACTTTTTTAAAAACTCTGTTTACTCTTTTTGTGAAATCTCTGTTCCCTTTTAAGTACATTTTTAGTTAAAACATGTTATTTCCTCAGTTATCTTGACGTTTGCTTCTTTGACATAAGCCAGCACATTTTTATTTCATTTTTAGCTTATGAAGTTTATTTTAAAGGGGTAGTTCTTGTGCATTAATATTGAAAAAAATTTCCTTTCTAACGAATTTCAGTTTTAAACCAAAAGCAAAGCATTGCTAAACTTTGAAGTATTTTGTAGCTATGAGTTAATATTTACGATATTCTTATGCACTCATGATATTGATTTAACGATATAATAGTCAGTTTTCATCTAGATCACTAAGGTCGTTTTCGCAAGAGTTTCAGTACTTTGCAATAGTTATAGAGTACTGCAAAATAAGTTATAAAATTAGCATTATTTCTAACAGCATTTAATTAACGTCGAAACAATGTTTGGTACAAAGTCTTAAATTTAATTAGAAAGCTAAAGTATTAGTATTTAAAAACTTTAAAATACCAAATTTTTAAACAGATTTAGTATTTAGTTTTCATGTATTTTTCAAAACGTAATTTTGAAAGTTCATTATTATATTAACAAAATGTGTGAAAAAGTTTATAATATTAAAACAAAAGCATATAAACTATTTACATCATATTTCCTTTAAAGTAGCAAAATCTAGTCAAAATATATTATAGAATATAAATAAGCCTAGTATGTAAATGTTTTCTACAAAATAAACATTCAAAAAGTAAAAAGTTTATTACAAGAGAAATAAGAATTTTAAAATAAATGCAATTTGTTTGAATGGTAGTATGAATGGAATGATAAACTATACTGTGTAAAATAGCTGTATAAAATATTGCTGTCATTTTAACGCTTATTAAATTTAAGAGTAAGTATTAAAAATATATACTTAAATTTTCAGTTATTTCATTGAAAGAAAAATGTAAGTTTTTCTAGCATAACGTTTAAGAAAAGTTACATGATATTCATGCAAAATATTTTATCTTCAGCAGGTAGCATTAGTTAGCATCAGAAATGCGAATATTGTAATTTATGTTTGAAATTTTTAAAATTAGAAAATTTGAAGTTAATATATACGAAATATTTAAATTCAGCAACAGTATTATAAGAAAAAGATCTGGATATAAATATTCCACTCTTACATTTATAAACTTGTTATTACAAGGCTTTTAGTAAATATACATTAACTAGAAAACTGATACAAATTATACATTATGCTTTTAACATTTAACAAAAAAAATTGGAGTTTTGGATTTGAAAGAAATTTATCAAAAATAATTCAATCAAATCAATAATTCTATATATCAAAGGCTCAAAAAACCTCAAATTATAAAAATATTACCTTACGAATAAAAATAAAGTTTGTAACAAGTTATAGTTTAAATGAATTCCTTGAAATTAATTTGATTAATAATTTTTTTTTTACACGACTATAAATATGAATAATTTTCCAAATATCAAAATAATCTTTTAAACAATTACCTTATAACTTTCAAATTAACCGGAGAAAGAGTCTAATCTTTCTAACAAGACTCTTGCAAATTTTCGCAGACTCCGTTCCTGTGATTAAACTCCAAATCTTTGGTTAGCATAATAAGGAAATATTCATAAATAAATTAAATTTGCTAAAGTTCATGTTACAAACTTAAATGAAATAATCGAAGAAGTCTCTTTAAACTAATTGCTATATCGTAGATTTTAAATACCGGGGCTATTATCTTCAAAAATCGCAGCTGTTCTTCAGGATGGAAGCTACAACATTTAAATTTGCAAGTTTTGGGATTATTACTCTAAACGTACTTTAAATAACGATACACAAGCGTGCAATTGTTAAAAAAAGAAAAAATACTTTCAAATATATCCTTACCACACGTTGAAATATGAAACATCTTGTATGTCTGAATTGCGGGCAGCAATAAATCTAGCCTTGTCATTTGCAAGTATTCTTTGATCAAATACTTTCTTTGAGAAAAATAAGAACACGAATATTTGCAATAACTTCATGTTTAAAATTAAGAAACAACAAAACGTAATAAATGTTAGCTAAAAAGAGAACAATTCATTATAAACTATTTTGAACAAAAAAGGTATTATACGACTTCTGTAGAAAAGCAGGCATTTTATAATAAATGCTTCAGTGATAAACTTCACACAACGAAACATATGGCTAATAGTCAGTTGCGAGCATTGCTACCGTTTTTTGACGCTTACATATAGTCCAGTATATCAAAACGTTCTTAGCTGCTTAGTTTTACTATACTCAGGACTAGCTCATTTAGCCGAGGTGAGAATACACAGTCAGGTACTGTGCGGTCAGATCTCTACCACATCAGTGGCACGATAAAAATTAGCAACTATAGTTATCTTCAATTAATGCTAGGTACCGTGCGTGGATTTTTCTGTCTATGAAACCATGGAGGAGATCATTGCATTATAGTGTATTTTGAGTCACTAAGGACGGTCAGAGAAAGCGTTATTCTATCAGACATACACCCTTCAGAGCGGAGAATTGAACAGTCCAAAGCGTGGTAGGTGAAACTTAACATTAAGTAGGGCCTTAGTCAATAAAGATGATAATATGGGCTACTTAATAGTAAATTTCTTGCGTGAACATATTTCATTGAATATAGTAGAGGAGCTCACAGGTTCGAGTGCCCAAGTCGCTTAAGAGCCTCAGTGATTATAAGGGATCAGCATACAAGCGTACATGTCAGTAGGATAAATTTTATAAAATAGAGTTCGGACTTTGACAGAAAAGTACTGAAGTTCATCTTAAGTTGAGTCTTTGTAAAAAATTATCTCTCAATATATTAGTTCCAAGGTTGCATTATTCTCTAATAAATAAATCACGAGTCATTTTATTATTCGAATAATTCTCCCCAATATGATAATTATCAAATTTGCAAGCGTTATTCAAAATTGCAAGCGTTCTATCACTGCAAGACCTCCTCAAATTAAGAAGATATGTTATAAATCTTGGTTTCTCAACTGACCGTCAGTGGGTTAATGTTTGTATTAGTATTAATATAAATGTTGTTTATATTTGAATTAGTTTTGGATCGGAATATTTTTCATTGAGGCGAGATTGTGAGAGATCTGAAACAAACTGACAAAATTTTTTTTATGTCCAACAATTATGTATATTTTGAAATTATGCCAATAGTCCAAATTACTAACCTTATCGGTCCGTGATAAATCACTGAAATCTTTCATTAGTTCTTTGAGTAACTCGGGCTTAGAAAAACTGATGTAAATGACGGAAAGAGAAGTAGATGTTTAAGGAATGGAATTAGTGAGTAGAGTCTGCCTTATAGGGAGTTGGATGTTCAAAGTTGCTAATAGTGTGTTTGACAGAGGGCCCAAGATCACACATAAATCTGTATGAAATTTGCTCACCTTCATGCACACTCTTGTATGCTACCCACTTGTATACGTCGAGTGTTTCTAATGACTTTGGTTCATAGTATCCCAATGGTTAGGGAATCAGACATTAGTCCGAAGGGGCCGAGGTTCAATCCTCGACTATGAAAAGAATCACCAAATTCATGTGATATACGTGATTGTAAAATCTATGGAATAGAAAGCCCTGTGAACGGATGTGGAGAAAATTTCATTCCTCTTCAGAAGTACGTCTAAATTGAGGAAGTGACCTCGCAGATGATAGGAACTCTGCAGAGGATCAAAATTGCGATGTCATGTATTCGGATCATCCTCAGGGATATTTCCCAAACCATCACCAATAGCCCATTGTGCAGCTCTAGTGCAACGTAAATAAAGTACCTACCTATTACTTTGGTCCGTAAGCCTAAATCACGGATTCCAGTAGATCGCCTAAGTCAAGCATCGCTACCTGTGGTCAGTGAACGGGTGAGTGAGCACTTTGATCTGCTGGAGAAGGTAATAAAGGTGTGGGGTATCGGGTCTCATAAATTGTTCTGCCGTAAAGGGCTCGACTTCGCGCGCAGGTTGTTGGCTTTCCGAAGAGGGGGAGGTTTTTCTTTTGTAGTGGATCAAAATTGTGATGACGTGCCTTCGGATCATCCTCAGTGATGTGTTCCAGACCATTGTCAATAGCCTATGGTGCAGCTTTAGTGAGACCTAAATTAATTACAATTAGTATTACTACTGGAGTCGTGGTGACTCAGGGGATAGAGCATTCGCCTTCAAATGAGGTGAACCGGGTTCGAATCCCAGCGAAGGCTAGTAGATACTAATTTCGCACTTGACTCACACCGATAGCAATGCTGGCTTAAAATATACTCAGTGGTAGACGGATCATGGGTTAGAATTCCCTTACCGTCAGGCTAACCATGGGAGATTTTCGTGGTTCTTCTCTCCATGTAGCGCAGATGCTGGTTAGTTCCATCATAAAGTCTTCCACTGAGGCAAATTTTTCCAATTACGTTATCAGAAGTTTTCTTATATCTTGGATTGGGGTCAAAATTACAAGGCTGTACGGAGTTGAACATTTATGTCGTAAACCCAAAAATTGGGTTGACTGTTCAATGACGCTTATAAAATAAAATAAAAACCACTACTACTGGACTGGGATAGCCTGGTTAGCAGGTTGTTGAACTTGTGTTCGAATCCAGACAGCCGAAGACTATCCGCGTATTAAATAGTAACTGGTTCCCAACTCTGTAGACTTGTAATTTTGAACCCAATCTTGAAGAAAAGATGTAATAAGCATTTAATTTTTTATTTCATATCAGTCGTTGAACAGCAGACCAATTTTGAGTTTATGACTACCAGTGTTCAACTCCGTAGCCGTGTAATTTTGAACTGATTCTAGAAGGCAAGGGAACTCCTTGATCAAGTATTGGGAGAACTTTGGTTTCATGGAGGACACAATAATAGACTGGTATTTTATAGATTGGCTTTCTTAGAGGATATATTTATATAATCCACGTTGATTAAATCTGATAACACATTTTGACGTAGAAAGAAAGAATAAAATGGCGGTAGGCGAGAGGCAGCATACCCAACTGTACATGTAGAGTAGTACAACAACCGTATGAAGAAGAAGAATGGTTCAGNAGCTTAAGTAATGAAAGATATATTAAAAGATAGAAAATAAATATGTGTATGCCAATTGTGGCATCACAAACCGGTTCACTGATGTCGTACCCCTCACTTTGCATTTTATGTGCGCGAACTGGATCTTAAATGTGAATCTGAGTATGTTGCCTGCCCTGTAATTTGTTTCTCTGGTATAACGTACCACACCCAGCAACTTCTCGCGTTTGTTACGTATTCGAAGAACTGGACTTCTTCTCTTTTCAACATTCCTTCCTCAGCCTCCCCCAAATTTATGGTACTTTAATCCACGTTATTTCTCGATCCATCTCTTAATGAGAACTTCAGCTGAGCTCACAGGCATCTCGTATCCAAATATGCAAGAAGAAAAGATCCAGTAGGTTGAGGCCCGGTCATCGAGGTGACCTCAGTTCCACCAAGTTCGATCTCTCGCTTGGGGAACAGTATTTTTCATCTTTTTTTATTATATTGACCACGATTTCTTTTCAATAAAGCTTTGAGGACAACTAACTACTAGTTCATGACATGTTCAGTTTGCTATTATTCACGGTGATCGTAATAACTACCTTTAATGTACATTTTTTAGAATTCACATATTTAGCTTACTCTGCCCATAAAGGATAAGAAAAAGTATTCTTTGAAACAGAAGTAGGCGTAACTCAAAATTATACTGCGTAGTTTCTATTAAATATGCGTAGCTTCTTATAACTGTCGCTGAACAGTCGACCAGAATTTGGGTTTACGACTACTAATGTTCAACTCCGTAGCCGTGTAATTGTGAACCCAGTCTAGAAGGCAAGGGAACTGCTGGATCAAGTGTTGTGAGAAGTTTGCCTTCATGGAGGACTTCTTATAGGGAACTAATACGCATTTGCATTACAGGTAGAGCAAAGCCATGAAAACCTCCCACGGTCAGTCTGACAGTAAGGGGATTCTAACACATGATCCGTCTACCCACTTCCGTATATTTTTTGTGTACCTGGAAGCTTCGGTGTATAATTAGTTTTTTTATGTTCTACAGGGCTTCGTCCCTGTCTTTGTGTTAACTAAGAAATATGTAGTGAAAGAATTGAGATCCTTGCGAAGGAATCCCTGTGTAAGAATATAAAATGTGTCACTTAAGAGAATCGTTATGTAAAGGGATTGAATTACTCGAAATAGAATGGAAAGAACAGTTGCTAACGTAAACAAGTGTCACGTTTCAACAACTAATCAGGATCCAGATACCCGTACTACGTCACTTGCAGGTAATCCATTGTGTTGGTATATGACTTTCAGTTTTGTAAATGATTTCGTAGAGTTGCTTAGTTCTTGTAGTTCATTTACGTCACACTAGAGCTGCACAATGGGCTATTGGCGACGGTCTGGGAAACATCCTTGAGGATGATCCGAAGACATGCCATCACAATTTTGATCCTCTGCAGAGGGGATGGCACCCCCGCTTAGGTTGCCCGACGACCTGCACGCGAAGTCGAGCACTTTACGGTTGCACAGTTTAACGAGGACCGATACCGCACACCCTCGGTCCCTACGCAGACTGATCAAAGTGGTCACCCACCCGCACACTGACCGCAGCCAGTGATGCTTGATTACGGTGATCTGCTGGGAACAGTGTTTTAACGATCAGTCCACTGCGGGACTAGAGTTGCTTAGTGTTGATAAACTGATAGCTTATTTATTAGATTAAGCTGATAGCTAGTAGGTTACAGTTAGAAGTAATAAACTATTCGAAAAAAATTATTCATTATGAAGGATGAAAAGTCATAAGCTTCAATTGAAAGAAGAAAATACATTATAGCGTATGAAATAAGGAGCATCTAGATTCATGAATAAAATCAGCTTATTATTAATGAATCAAAAAGCTGACAAAAGAATTTCGTGAAATGATTGTTGAAGGGTTCGCTTCTAATTAATTTGATTCTTTAGTAAAGTTTGATTGTTGAGATTTCTAAACCCTTATTTTGTCATGAAATATATTGCATTCATTGGTTGCAGCTGTTTCTTTTTACTCCTTCTAACTTTATTTTTTCTCTCTGAAATCTATTTCACACCTGGGGTCTTGTTTAAGAATGATAAATATTGAACAAGTGTTTGAACACAGAAATTAAATTCTCTCTTGGCAGGACGTGTGCGTCGTTCGTTGCGAGAAAAGCAGAAATTCTTTTCGAAATAAAAGAGACGAAACAACTATTTTTTGTTTAAAATATTGCTGCTACTTTTTAAAAAAGTGTGATATATACTTACGCGGTTTTTTTTAAATTTAAATTATTTCTCTTAAATCGAATCGAATTAAGTCCAACCGATTACTATTTGTTTTAGAAAAGATTACAGTTTGTAATAAGATGATATGTTGAATAGATGATATTTTTAACAATTTTATTATATTTATATAAGGCAGCTATATGACTTCCAGATTTGTGTTGCGGATTGTATTTTATTGCGGCTCATTATTAGGAAGGTACAGGCATACATATAAATAGGCTGCTTTATTTATATAGATAAGGTAGTAAATATATGATAAAGCATTAACTGTATGAATGAGGCAGAATGCTTATAAACTTCTGTAATTATACCTTACTGAATTCTGAACCGGTCAACATCAAATTTGATGCAAAGGAAGAGACTGTGGATTACTTTAAAAGTCTTTCGAATCACAGGTGCTATTTCTTAAAGAAAGACTTCACACTTTATTATTTCATAATGTGAGTGATTTGCCATTTTGCAGCTCATATCACTCAAAATTTAATTTCATCACACGTTTTTATAAATCGTTTATCTTTGTTTTCCCTTGTTGGATACCTGCAAGTGATTTAATGTTGGTATCTCGATTCTAATTGGTTGTCAAACTTAGTATTTGATTACGTTATCATTTATTTTTTCCATTATATTTCGAGTAAGCTAAGCTAATTAAATTACAATTTACTTACATGACATATGCCATATTCTTTCACTATATATTTCTTACTGCTAGTCATTCAGTTTTTGTATTTTGATGTATTATGTCACGTAAGCATAATGAGGGCAGAGTTACATTACTGAATAAGTAATTTTATAATTTTTATCTAGAATCCTGCATTTATTTTGCCTCTATGAAACGGAATAATTCAAAATGAAAGAAAATGAATTTATGCTCTTTTAGAAGAGTAAATGAAGTTAATTGAATGATTGTTGTAAAATCCTGACAATCATAAATAAGCTGCGAGCCATAGCATCATGCTGTATACTGGAATAGTTAATACTTATTTTGATCAGTTGAGTTTCGAAAGATATTGTTTGATTAATCTAATACACTAAAGTCTCCAAAATACCCAATAAAAATTAATAGATATGTATAAAATCGGAATTATTTTAAGGTAGAATCACCGGGAAAGACAACAAATACTAATTAATATAATTAATTGGAATTATTTTAACGCAAAGTCTCTGAAAAAGGCAACAAATGACAATAAATTAAAAAAAAGATATTTTTGTTCTATTAATCTTGTTGGTATATAACTTCCAGCTTTGTGCATGATTTCTTTGTGTTGATTAACTCCAATTTATGGATTATTTACTTTTTGTTTTATCTCAAACGAAGATCGGAAAATTCAGCT